CTCACCCCCATCAACTGTCGACCATATCTATTCTCACGTATTGGAGTGGAGTTACCCAATTTTCCAGGTGTTGTGTGTCTCAGTTCCCCTGGCTAGGAAAAGGGATTCACTTTCCCCTTGCACTTCCCAGGCGAGGCGATGCCTCGCCCTGCTTCAGCTCTCGCTTGTCGGGCTGCAGCAGCTGACCAGCACCGATTGTCCGGCACTCCCTAGTGAGATGAACCCAGTACTTCAGTTGAAAATGCAGAAATCACCAGTCTTCTGTGTCGCTCGTGCTGGGAGTTGGAGACTGGAGCTGTTCCTGTTCCGCCATCTTGCTCCGCCCTCTATTTATAGCATTTCATTTTGATTTTTTCTTAAAGCTTTTGCTTAGGCTACTTTTACCATTAGCACTCTTAACATATTAATCATGGTGATTTTAAATGCTCTGTCTGATAATTCCAACACCTGTGTCATATGTCTTATTCTAATGCTTGCTTTATCTTTTCAGATTGTGTATTTTCTTCTGGCGTGTCTTCTGATTTTTTATATCGAGTAATAGGAAACAGGTAAATTGAGGACTTATGTTTATCTGGTTAGGAGTCACGTTGTGTTTAGTGTTGCTCATAGATGTAGGTACTAAACATTTCAATCTCCTCTAGCATCCTTGTTTTTGTTTTACTTCTTGATTTTGGGTTTTTGTATGTACTGTTGCTTAGGGAAAATTTTTCTTTTGTAGTTCTTTTTTTTATTTTTTATTTTTTTGAGGTGGAGTCTTGCTTTGTCACCCAGGCTGGAGTGCAGTGGTGCAATCTCGGCTCACTGCAAGCTCCGCCTCCCCAGTACACGCCATTTTCCCATCTCAGCCTCCAAGTAGCTGGGACTACAGGTGCCCACCACCACGCCTGGCTAATTTTTTGTATTTTTAGTAGAGACAGGGTTTCACCATTCACAGGATGGTCTCGATCTCCTGACCTCATGATCCGCCTGCCTCGGCCTCCCAAAGCGCTGGGATTACAGACTTGAGCCACTGTGCCCGGCCCTCTTATAGTTCTTAGACCTGTAAGCACAGTTATTATACTGGACCCTGTTGATATGGTGGTTAGGTGTGAGGGAGGTAAAGCGTTGTATAATTTTCTGATTAAGTCTCACCCTTCTATTACATCGATGTTTTGAGGCTGTGGTCTTCACAAGTGTTTCTCCAGTGGTGTAGCTTTTTGTCTCCTCGTCCCTCCTACATTTCTGGCTGCAATATTCCTAATCTATTTCTTTGAACTCTAATCTCTGTGGACTGTTGTGTTTTCCACTACCTTAGGTGACATAGGAAAGCTGGAGACATGAGCTGGAAGAATTTCTCTTCTCTTTCTGGAATAAGGCTTCAGAATTGAGTGCTGGCAAACTTCTTTATCCTGGTAAGTGGGCTTTTTTTTTTTTTTTTAAAACATCTTTCATATTTTACCCTAGCTGTTCTTCCACTCTACTTAAAACAGCCATGAGGACGTATTTTTCAGATACATACAATGTCAACCTAGCGGAGCGACTGAAGAGAAGGACCACAAAAATGTGGGAGCTCCTTCTCAGTCTCATGCTAGTAAACACTTAGCCTCCAGAAATTCATCAAAATCACCATTTAAGTGTTTGTACCAGTTTATGTCTCTAGAAGCTTCTGCTCCAAGTAAGTAGATATTGGTTGCTATATCTTTCAGCATGTACCTCTCTCCGTATTTGGGAGTTACTTTGCCCTATGACCTCAATTCTCTTGGTGGGTCCAAGAAAAGTCTTTGATTTTTGGTTTGTTCAGATTTCCCTTGTAAGGATGGAGGTGATGACTTCCAAGCTATTCACATGTTCAAGCAGAAACCATAACTCCCCACAGTAACTATTTTACCTCTAGTAGAAAAAGGTCCTACTGTGGTTGGCAAATCCTAAGAAGATATCTGTAATCTGGTGGATCTGAGTCACTGGGAAGTCGAAAGGAAGTGGAAGTCTAGTAAGTCCCTCTTTTGGAGAATTACTGGTACCTTGAGGTTGATGGTATCTCTTTAGGCTTCCTATTTCAGATAAAGAACCTACTGAAACAATATAGTTTTCCAGAATAAGGGAAAAAAAGATGGGGAAAAAAGAGGGAGAAAAACCCTGTTTTTCACTGTAGAAACTGAATATGGCAATTCTGACTTCTGGATTATGAAACCACTCGCCCTCCCTTTCCCAACTTCTAAAACTCCTCTCCACATGGAATTTCCTGGTGTTGTGAATGTCTACAATCTTGGTATTGCAAAAATCCAATATAATAATGATGATGATGATGATGATGATAATAATAATACAAACATAAGAAACCAGCACCTGTGTAAAGTTATTATATGAAAATGTAAATTAGTATCAAAACCTTTGGCATATTAAATGTTGCCAAAAAGTCATGAAAATGAAGAACATTGTAACAAATACATTTATGAATTAAATATCATTAAATGAGCAATTGCATATGTGACAGGGTACCATGACTCAGAGTAGAAAAAAATCAAAAACAGGGAGGTATAAAATAAAAGTTGGTAGAACTCAGAAAGGAAATGGAAGAAAAAGACAAAAACTATTTAAGAATAAAAGATAAATTATGAGGAACTCAAGGATGAATAGATGCAATGGAGAGGGCAATGGAGAGACAAAGATAAATGTAAAACTGAAATGTGGAAGAGGCTAAAAGAATTAGATAGACTACTTGTTCTTTCCTTGATGGAGTGATAGTTATAGGGTTAATCTCTTGCTATAAACAATTATAAAACTGGATTAAATATTTGAAGCAACTGGTTTCAGATATTGAACAATAGGCAGTGCAAAGCTTTGATCCTTGAGCAAATGGAAATAGTCAAGGAGAGCTCAACATTCACCCTGGATTTCTGGCTGGTACTTGTTCCAGACAATTGCACAGGAAATTGGAACAAGCAGAAAGTAACTGTCCTTCTGGGTAGAAGAAACAGATATCAGAGTTTGGGGATGCTGCAAGGCTGAAATGTACAGAGTATGGCGCTGGAGAAAACATATATTCAGAGAAGGTATTTTATAAATCTGTATAGGTACCCCTTAACTCTTGGCTTAATACTAAACTATACTGGCACCGCATGCAATTTCTTCAGTTGTGGCAGAGAAATGCTACAGGGGCACCACAAGCTGAACTAGTATTTTAGATATCATTCAGTTTTGAGAGCTGTTGAATTTCTGATCAGACAGCTTTGGGCATCTCAGCCACGCCTTTAGCTGAGATGCCAAAAACTCTGTCTTTGAGTAGGGTTACACCTTATTTTAGAATACGGGTTACTCTGGACCTGTGCTAAGAAGTCCTAACAATAAGCCATGGCAAGATCAAGCTTATCTTCTAGTCAATTACCTGTCAGAATAAACTTTAACATTCTTTAATGGAACACACAAAAAGTAGGCTCTCAACTATATAACATATACAATTTAGTATACAAAGAAAACTTACTAGATATGGGAAGAAATAAGAAAATGTTAGCTACAACCAGAAGAAAAACCTGACAAACAGGAAAAGGATGGGATAGAAGATATGTTGGAGTTAGCAGGCAAGGACTTTTTAAAAAGTTATAGTATGCCTGAAATTTAAAGAAAAAGATAACACAATGAGCAAACAGATTGGGGAATATTGATGACATTAACAGCAGATTGGATTACACAGAAAAAAATCAATGGACTTAAAGAAGTAGCAACAAAAACTATAAAGCATAGCATACAGAGAGAAACTTGCTGAAAAAAATATGAGAGAGTACATTGGTGACCCATGGGACAATAATAAGCTGTTTAATAGGGTTGTACTTCGTGTCCAGGAAGAATAGGGGAGACATTGGGACAAAAAGAATTTGAAGAGGTAATGGCCAAGAATTTTCCAAATTTGATGAAAAAGAGCAACTCACAAGTCTGAGAGGTTCAACAAACACCAAGAAGGATAAACTCTAAGAAAACCATCTCTAGTCATAAAATAATAAAAATGCTAAAAACCATAAATACAGAGAAGATTTTAATTCTTATGAATTACTTTTAGTACTTTCATAGTCCATTTAGTATTGCTAAGGAACACTTAAGGCTGAGTAATTTATTAAAAAATGAGGCTGGCCGGGCGCGGTGGCTCACACCTGTAATCCTGGCACTTTGGGAGGCTGAGGCGGGCAGATGACTAGGTCAGGAGATCAAGACCATCCTGGCAAACATGGTAAAATCCCGTTTCTACTAAAAATACAAAAAAATTAGCTGGGCGTGGTGGTGGGTGCCTGTAGTCCCAGCTACTTGGGAGGCTGAGGCAGGAGAATGGCATGAACCCAGGGGGGCGGAGCTTGAAGTGAGTGGACATCATGCCACTGCACTCCAGCCTGGGCAACAAAGCAAGACTCTGGCCTGTAGGCCACATGCAGCCCAGGATGGCTTTGAATGCAGCCCAACACAAATTCATAAACTTTCTTAAAACATTATGAGAGTTTTTTTTTTTTGCAATTTTTTTAAAGCTCATTAGCTATTGTTAGTGTTAGTGTATTTTATGTATGGCCCAAGACAATCCTTCTTTCAATGTGGCCCAGGGAAGCCAAAAGATTGGACACCCCTGCTATACAAGAAACATGGCACCAGCATCTACTTCTGTTAAGGGCTTCAGGCTGGTTCCACACATGGGGGAAGGTGAAATCAAGCCGGTGTGTACAAGAAAGGGGGAAGATGCCAAGATGTATTTTAACAACCAGCTGTCAAGAAGATAAATAGAATGATAACTCACTATAGTAAGAAGGGCAGCAAGCCATTTATGTGGGATTTGCCCCATGATCCAAACACCTCCCAATAGGCCCCACCTCCAACATTGTGGATCAAATTTCAATATGAGGTTTGGAGGGGTCAAATATCCAAACTATAGCAAGTACTATTTATTTTTTTCATATTATATTTATACCACATGTATTAATATTAATCACTATGCTTTGTAGTATGTATTAATATCATATTCCTATGCTTTGTATTTCTTCTGCAAAATTAATCTTATTTTTGGCATTTTCATATCATTGAAATGAAAATGATATGAAAATGCCAAAAATAAGATTAATTTTGCAGAAGAAATACAATTTATCAAAGCTTGTCAAGTTCCATAGAAATTTTGTTATTATTCAGTTAGTGGTGTTTAGGAAGATTGTGAAGTTTTGTATATTAATCTTATTCACTATAATTGGTCATAATATTTTTCCAATAGATTAACAGCATCTAAATAAGGAGGATAAATCCCAATCTTTCAAATTCTTACAATTAATTTCTTTTTCATATTATTGTATTGGCTGGTAACAATACCTGTTTGTATTTGTACTCATTGTGGCTTCTTTGGGTAGACGCTTACATAAGTCTATCTTCTAAAACCGTTGCTAAAATGTGAAGCAAAAAACCTGAATAACAACAACAAAAAACCTGGAAGCCATAATGATCATAAAGAAAAGACTTGGAATTAATGAACAGTTGAAAAACTGGGAACCTTAGTCTTGTCCTTCACTGCATTAAAGATCATTCTAAAGTTTCATCCTTTAGTTCTATAGGTTTTGATAGAAATGCGTAATCCAGCTGCTTTTGGGATTTTGTCTTTGTCTTCAGTTTGAGCTGTTTTACTATAAAGTTTCTAGGTTTGGTTGTCTTTAGGTTAATCCTGATTGGTTTTAACAGAGTTTCTTGAGTCTATGGCTTGATGCCTTATTTCTGTTTTAGAAATTTCTTAGGTGTTATGTATTCAAATATTGCTTCATACTTCTCCATCTTTCTGGTTCTTTAATTACATGTACATTAGAACTTCTCACTGTGTCCCATACATTTTAATACTCAGTGTAATTTATCTATTGATTTGAATATGATTCTATTGTTAAACTCATCTTCTGAATTAATTTAGTTTTAGCTAATATTTTCTCAGTTCTGAAATTCTTTTGATTCTTTCTTATTAACACCAGTTCCCAGGTAAAATTCTGTATCTACTTCCCGATTGTCTTAATTATATTACAGATTTTTTGATGTCCTTGTCTAATTGTTTTAATATCTGGTTCACATTTGAATTTATTTCTGTTGTCTGTTTTTGCTCATTTGTTCTTGTTCTTTTCATGTTTGATAATTTTCATTGAATGCCAGGCATTGCTTATAAAACATTTTAGAGTCTCTGGATGATGTTATCTTCCCACATTGAGAATTTAACATATTTGTGTTGGCCAAGCAGGATGTTGGCCAATAACCATGATTTAATCAAAGATGAGTTTCAGGACTTATTAGGCCTTAACTATTTTTGATTTCACCTTAGTCCTGTATGATGCACTAGGATTTTATTTCCATTTTTTCCCAGACTGGTGAAAGATAGTAAGCTAGTCTTAGAATGATAACCTAATAATTTTCCCCAGAAATATAAAGTCTGGTTGTATTTGTATTGATTGTAGTCCCTGAAACTAAGATTCTTAAGGATTTTATAAACTATGGTGACTGATATGGTGTGGCTGTGTCCCCACCAAATCTCATCTTGAATTGTAGCTCCCATAATTCCCACATGTTGTGGGAGGGACCCCACAACATGAATCTTAGGGGTGGTTTCCCCCATACTGTTCTTGTGGCATCTGATTGTGTTATAAGGGGAACCCCTTTCTCTTGGCTCTCATTCTTGCTTGTGTGCTGCCATGTAAGATGTGCCTTATGCCTTCCAACATGATTGTGAGGCCTCCCCAGCCACGTGGAACTGAGAGTCCACTAAGCCTCTTTTCCTTAGTAAATTACCCAGTCTCAGGTATGTCTTTATCAGCAGCGTGAAAACGGACTAACACAGTGCCCCAGTAACTTCACAGACCATGTACCAAATGTGAGAACAAGCAAACTTGGAAGGCCATAATGACCATAAAGAAATGACTTTGAAACCTGGACCTCTTGGAGTTTATGGACAAGCAGTGTAATAATTTGGATGGTTATGATCCCAACTTGGGGCTATTTGTTATATCTAGATTCAATATTTTTTGATTACATATATTAATGTCACAGCACAGTAAAATAAATGAACTAACTGTACAGTTGACTCTTGAACAACACAGGTTTGAACTGTGCAGGTCCACTTATATGAGAATTTTCTTCTGCCTCTGCCACCCCTTAAAGAACAAGATAAACCCCTCTTCTTCCTCCTCATCCTCAGCCTACTAAATGTGAAGACTACGAAGATGAAGAACTTTATGATGATCCACTTCCACTTAGTGAATAGTAAATGTATCTTCTCTTTCTTATAATTTAAAAAATAACATTACTTTTCTCTAGCTTACTTTATTGCAAGAATACAGTAAATGATTCATACAAAATACAAAGTATGTGTTAATTGACTGTTCATATTATCAGTAAGGTTTCCAGTCAACAGTAGGCTATTAATATTAGGTTGGTGCAAAAGCAACTGCAGTTTTTGCCATTACTTTTAATTACATTTAATGGCAAAAACCGCAGTTACTTTTGCACCAACCTAATAGTCAAGTTTTTTGGGAGTCAAAAGTTGTATACATGTTTTTGCCTGTGTGGCAGATCTGCACCCCTTATCTTCACATTGTTCAAGAGTCAACTGTATATTATAAAACTTTGGGACAACGTAGGTATCCAATTTAAGTGCTTTTCCTCAGACAAGCTTTAGAATGCTCACATTAGGTACACATTTGCATATTTCTGAAGTTACCAGTTCATCTTTTGGCTCTCAGAGACAGCTTCTAGCAAAGACTCATTTCGATGTTTCTTGGTGGCATACAGGCCAGATGTGACCCACCACCAGCTGAACATCCTGAGGGATATAAAGCGCACTGTGTTTGTTTTGCTTTGTTTTTTTGTTTGTTCCAAATTCTTGTTAATGGTTTTGCCAAGGCGTGATCTAAGCAATCTTTTTCAGTCACAAAATTGCTGTTGTGTTTCCTCTATAATATGAATAATTTGACTGCAGGCATGCATGCCGTCTGGTTATGGCTAATTTCAGTCTCTGACTATTGAAGATGCTCTGCCCTAGTGTGGCAGAGTCTCTTCTCATGAACTCTCAGACACTTGTTTCACAGGAGGTGAAAATTCCAAGCCCCCAGTCAGAAGGCTGAAGAATAATGGAGAAGGTGTGATGACACAGACCAGCATACATCCAGGGACACAGCTCTGGCTGGGCTGGAGTGTTAAGGTGGTGAGCCACTTAGAGAACAAAGTATATCAACTCCTTGATTTTATCCAGCTGCTCGCCAGCTCCAGATGGACAAAAAGAGTTTGATCTCTCCCTTCTCCATTTAGACAAACAATACATTATTGTAAATAACCGATTTTTCTGAAATGTGCATAACAGCTGCAGGTTGGATGCAATTGTGATAAGCAGAAGAAAAAAAAAGCCTGAAATGAAGCCTTACAAGAAACCTAGAGAATATTCAGGTTCCATGAAATAGAGACCATTCACCAAACTAGAGACAATTCACTTTGGCTGCATCCTTTGAGCTGCTTGGCAGTTTTGATGCTAAATCCTTATCTTTATAAGCATATTTTTGCCATTGTTGTTACTTTATAATCTCTCTTTTCAAGAAATTTTATATGCTTTGTTTTGGAGATCATAGTTTGCAACAAGCCATGAGGGAGAAGCTCATGGAGGGGGGGGTGTGTGTGTGTGTGTGTGTGTGTGTGCGCGCGCGCGCGCGTGTGCTATCACCTCCTTTTTTGTTAATTCTCAACTCCTTTTCTATTAGTACTTGAAAAACTTAGTCACGTGAACAAATGAGTTAAAGTAATTTTTCTTGTTCTTGAGAAAACAAACTCACCTATTACGCTATGAATTTAATGTCTTTTTAAAATTTATTTTAAATAGGGAGACTTCTGAGAGGAGACCTTGCTTGGAAGAAACTAGAAAGTCTAATTTTTATTTCAAATTTGCATGAACCACATAGAGAATATATTAATTCTGTTGAAATCATTTTCTTTTTGGATCTGTCTGGGATAAATGAACTTGATTTAGAGAGCCAGAGGCACTGGATGACTTTCAGATGTATTGCATGACTTTCCCAAGGCAATTTCCCTGGTTAGATAGAACCCATGGATTCTCTTTTCTGTTGGTTCACAATCCAAGGTCGTTGTCTGCTTCCCCTCAGCTCTCTATTTTAATTCCAGCAGAGCTACAAATGAGAAGCCCAACCCATGCAACAGCTCTGAATGAGGTCACTCTGATCACTTTGCTTTTTAAAATAAATAGATGTCCTCTCCCTACCCTAAGGTGGGGCTGAGCTGTCCTCAGTTTAGGGAGACAGTTTCTCTAGGGCAAAGATTTTTTAGACTTTTGTGTTAGTTGACCTAACCATCCACTGAGAATTGGATGGATAAGTGGATTATCTCCTTTCCCCCGACAAATACACACATTCCAAAATTAGCGTGCAATATTACAGAAATTATGAAACATCTTGGAGATATTTCATGTACACCAAGTAAAGAATCCCTGTGTTAGTGGCATGTGGAGTAAATGTTCAAAGCAGGCTTTGGAGACAGAAAAACATGGGTTTAAAACCCAGTTCTGCTACTTAGTAACTGTGAGAATGTAGACAAAAATACTTAAAATCTTGTTGCATCAGTTTTCTCATCAATAAAATGAAGATGATAGTACATACCTAATAGATTAGTTATGGGGGATATCCAAGTGCTGTATAAACCATGAGAAATGAAAACAGGAATCACAATCTGTAGTCCTACACCATGACTCACAAAACAGATAAAATGCTTCAAATGGTGACATGCAACAGAACTGTCAAAACTCCAGTTGTTGGAATACCAGTACCTTCAGACCCATATGTTCTAAGATTAGAGCATAGGCAAACTGCTTTAATAGTAACTCTGCAGGAACCCATGTGTTTCAAAGATAGAACCATTGCTTGTTCCAGCAAATCATCTGATTTATAAGTTCCGAACAGTCCCTGCCCAGGTCTTGATTAATAATTATCCTAAAACCAGTCTATAACTTCCCTTTCTTAATTCCTCGTTTGAGATACTATCATAGTTTACAACTATCTGTGGATTTCTCTAGTGGTCTTGGTATGTGGGCTTCCACTAACTACCAGGAGCCCCGGAGCAGAGATTGTCTATTTTCTTCCTTCACCTAAAGCATGCTGAATTTGTTTACAGTTCTCTTGGTTAGGGCCACCATCCAGAGAAGAAAAAGCAAGACTAAATGTGAGGCTATCTAATGGTGGGTAAGAACAACTTTGTTCTGTGAATTACACAATAATATATTTTTGCTTATTTTCTGTTGAGTTGTTGGTCTTTTTATTTCTAGGACCTCCTTGTATATTAGCATTATTAGCCCATCATCAATGATATGAGTTGCAAAATGTTTATTGAAAAGATGCACTGGTTTTTGACTTTGACTCTGTTTATGGATTTTTATTTGTTTTAGTTCATCTTTCAGAAGAACTTAATTTCATGTAGACAAACATACCATGGTATTAATGATTTCTGCATTTTGAGTGGCATTACAAAGGTCTTCCCCACCAAGGATAAAGTTCATTGTGAAAAAATAGGTGAATAAAATGGCAAGAATCAATTTTTAAAATTAGAGCTAACAGTGCAGATAGTACTACCAGGCATAAAAACAATTTTAAAGATGTGGTAATGGCACATAAAGAGAGATTGATGGAATGTAAAGAAATAGGAAAAAAAAATTACAGTGGGATACTAAAAGCAAAAACATGTAGGAATTCACTATTCAATAAAGGTAGCATCTCAAACCAATAGGAAAAATATATCCATTTCATAAAGTAAGCTTAAACAATTGGGTCATATCTGGAAAAAAGTTGGAACTTTACTGTGGATAAATTTCAAATGGACCAAATATTTAAATGTGAAAAATCCCTTACAAGTCTAAAAGAAAGAGGGGAGAATTTCTTTATGAACTTAATTTTTCTTTACCTGGAGTAGTGGATCCTTGTTAGGTACCTGCCTTCCAGCATAATTCCATTTGTATAAAATGTCCAAATTGTATATAAATATATAAACACAGAAAGCACATTAGTGGTTGTATGAGACTGGTAGTGGGAACTACGGTTGACTAAATGTGAGTGGGCATGAGGCATCTTTTGGGGAGTGATGAAAATATTCCAAAACTGTGCTGTGGTGATATTATAATTATTGAATTATATATTCTAAATAAGTGAATTTTATGATATGCAAATTATACTTTAAGTTGTTAAAATCAAGTATGATTTAGGGACAGCTATACTTGGGCAGAATAAACCTAGAACAATGCTCACACCAAAGTCTCTCAATATGTCAAATACCGATTCTCCCCAGGATTAGGACTTGGGAAGAATGGAGGTGACCCTGATGAATGAATAAAGAAGACAGAACTAGAAGAAAGGGAACATTTTCTTCTGAAGGTCTGGTTTCCTTCCATTTGTTATCTTGCTTCCTGCAGGTACTGGCAACCTCTACTGAAAACAGCGTCCTAGCTTTCTTCCACAGATGGTGACCAGAACAGCCTGTCTCATTGCTGAGCAATCACCAACATCCCTTATTGACCTCAGCCCAGTTGTTGACTCTTTTGTTTAATTGGCCTTACATGGAAGCACTTCAACTGAAAGCATGTCATTTTTTAGGGAATTGTGCCAAAAAACAATTAATTTCAAATACACAGCTTTTCTATTTAATGCTGCAGTTTCTGTCTGAGGCAACATTTATTTATGTTCCTGTCGGAGGGAGATAACACACCAGCTGAAGGAACAAGCAGATGTAGACCCATGGGAATCGCATTGTTGTTGGTCTAACTCTCCTCTTGGCTTTGGCATCCTGCAGCTGTGGCTGCCTTTACGAAATGGTAGCAATCAACTTTACCCAGGGACTGTGGCTCTTCTTGCTTTCTTTTTTAAAATTTAATTTATTAGACTGGTTTATAATCTAGATAGAACTCTAACAACTGTGGGAATATTCCCATGAAAGCCTACATGCAAAGGGATATTATTCCAATTCCATGGGGATTTTTCTACCCATCCCAACCATGGCTCTGCAAAAAACCATGCTATTTGTTCTGTTTATATCTCTCAGGAGCCTACTAAGGTTTCATGTACTCCAGTATGTTTCTAAATCTATGTTTTATTATGCTCTACTAGGATTCTGTTGCTTTCACTTAAAGTTGTAAGGATATCACAGAGAAAGAGTGTCCCAGAGGGATAGCCGCACTGCTGAGTGGGAGCTGAGACACTTGGGGCATTTGATATACCATTTGAGTGGCGGGGCGGGCAGCACCAGGGTAGTGCATCTAACACAGCAGCACTGTCCCTTGCTGTCACTCCTTATGGCTGTGTGAGAGCTGGTGGTGAAGGTCCAGAAGGGGCTAAAGGGTCCTTGTGCTGTGAGCATGCAATGTGCAGAGTTTTACTATGTTGTTTTGGTCAATGTCCTTCTCCTTTCACTTTTTCTCCTTTGTGCGGTGAAGTCTTCTGTTACTATTTGGCTAAAATAAGCCACATAGCTTGTGTTAAATAATCTTTTTTATTTCTTTAAGAAGAATTTGGTGCCTATGAAAGTGATCAAAGTTTTTTGTTCTCCAGTGACATCAAGCAGGAGAAATGGATATACTGTCCATTCATGAGTCCTTAAATAGTCTAATCTCATTTCAACAAATTCCTTTCTTCCTACTTCTGTTCTTCCCTCCCTTCTTTCTTTTTTCCTTTCCTTACCTTAGACAACCCTACGCAGTAAATAAAAAAATCACAACCAGTAAGAAAACAAACTAGAAGAGCAATCCTTCCTTACCTTAGACAACCCTGAGGAGTAAATAGAAAATCATGGCTAACCAAAAAACAAACCAGAAAAGCAATATGTAAGATCACAATATAGGTGGCCCACAGGCTTGTACATTGTTATTAAAATTGAATTGAAAATTAGGCTTTGAGGTTCTTGAGTCCAAGCAAAAGAGAATAATCACAGTTGTATGGGTACCCTTGACCACACAGAAAAGCAAAACTATTCTTGGCACTCAGGCTGAAAATTCCCATCTGTGACTCTATAGGTTATAAGAGCCCAGGCAGCATGTAGGGTATGTAAGGCAATGACTTTATTAAAAAAACAATACTGGTTTTAACAACTTTGAGTCTGTGGTATTCTCAGGAAATGTTGAGGTTATGGTATGCACATGTAACCTAGTAGGAGTACCGTGAGAGCCTGGGCAGTTTTCTGCAAGTTAATGTGGCTTGATGGTCTAGTTAAATCTACAGGTGTAACACAGTTATTTCAAACTCTCCAAACTCTCCAGTGTAAATATGGATTATCTTGGCAAAATCTTTTTTTTTTTTTTTTAATCAGGCAGCAGATAGTTCAGAGATATGTCTTCTGTCAAATACCACTGTGGCATAATTTCTCTTCTCTCCAACCTCCTACCAATTTGCTGAGGAATCTAAGTACATAATAAACCTGAAAATAGAAGATGTGCTATAAAGTTCTTAAATGGTAAGAAGTAAAATATCATTGAAAACTTGGCTTTACCTTAGAAAAAATGAGGAGGTGCTCGGATTTCTAGGTGTCTTCGATGAATGCTGGTTGTCTCTTTGTGACAAATGCAGTTGGGAGTCCAGTTCTGCAGTGCTTTCATTGATTTTGTGGAGGGGTGACTACTGTTTGCCACTTCAGAGCCCAGGTGAACCATCTATATTCATTAAGCCTGCTGGCATGGTGGAGAAAATGGATACATCATACTTTCTTAGGTCGAAAGATCTGGGATCAGAATTTTACCTGTTCTAGAAAACTCTGGCTGATGCCTGCACTTCTTGTCTTCTGTAACCAGTATTCAGTATGGGCCATCCAGCTTTTTTATTGAGATTTGATCACTTAGCTTTCCATCAGTAACTCATTTTGACATATGATTGAAGAAGTTATCTTGCCAAATATCCAGAATCAATTTTCAGCAACCTGGGACATTTTTCAGCCTGGTCATGAATTAAGACTCATGCTCTTTTGTCTGACTGTAAACTTTACTCAACACATGGAAGCTGCTCCCCAATTTCTTAGTACATAGTCGAGGTTCCCTCCTCCCCTATACCTGAGCATGGAGTCAGCTGTGTTTGAGACTTATTAATGCGGATTAAAATAGAAGAATTTTATCCAGCGTGAGTCAGTAGAGCAAGAGATTGAGCACACGGTAAGGGGTGTTAGAAGGGTAGAGGGGAAAGAGAGAGTTAGGGAAAATTAGGACAAAGCAAGCAAAGAAGAGGGTTCGCATAAGAAGTGTCTGAAGAAATAGTAGCTGTTGCTCATGATTATGTTTTACCTGTGAAATTCAGATAATAGTTTTGAGATCTTAAAGCAATGAGCTTTTGCTCCCCCCAAATCTCTAATGACTTGTGTCCCACACATTTCCTGACCAATCGACTCAATAATGTTCATTATTTGAAGGAATGGGCCATACTGCTTAGAACAAGTTCAGAATTTCAAGTGGTATTTTGAGACTCATTGATGCCCAAACTAAGCAGAAAATTCACGTTTTATTAGTTTAAAAAGTTTTCTAAATTCTAGAAGCTTCCCTACCTATTGAGTAAAGGCTTGGGGATCTGTGCTAGTGAGGTTGAGGAGGTATGAAGACATTGAGTTTATGATTTAAGTAAAGTCTCTATGACACAGGAAGGGAAAACAGAAAGGCCTTCTAGCCAGTTTTGGGTAGAACAGTACCTTAAGGGAGAACAGGAGAACAAGGGAGTCAGAATGAACAAAAGCATGATTCTGAAGAGCCTGGGTAGGCAGAGAGACCCAGTCCATTATCAAAAAGAAAAGAATCCTTCCTTCCTTAAAATTACCCAGGAGTCCAGAAAGTATGCTTTATATATTAGTATAGATATATGTAGAAACATCTGTATAAAATATATATGCACATAAATATGCAAATATGTTAAAAATGTAATATTTTATCTGAAACACAAATCTACATATTTTTCTAGCTCAGTATTAGCTTCTCTTGCACCTATACAAAGGGGCTGCTCTCAGGTAATGTGCACCCGTCTCTCTATGCTCACAGCAGCTCCCTCCAGAAAGCTACTAGACTTTTGGTACCAAAACTAATGGTAGGCCACATGCACCAGAATAAGGAAACACAGTTGAAAGCATGTATATTATTTGACAAGCATCTAGAGCATACATAAATAAATCATATAGGGAAAAACAGGCATTGAATGGTTAGCAAAGATTCTCAACCCTTGTACTGTATACTCACTTGGGGAGTTTTAAAACATTAATATATAGTCCCCACTCAGAGATTTGAGTTTAACTGGTCTGGCCAGGCACTGATACATATGGTTAAAAATATTTTACTTTGTACTTTAAATAATTCCAGACTTACACAAAAATTGTAAGAATAATACCAAAAACTTCTGATTATCCTTCATCCACATTCCCCAGTAGTTATTTATTTTTTTTATTTTTGAGACAGAGTCTCACTCTGTTGCCCAGGCTGGAGTGCCATGGCACGATCTCTGTTCACCGCAACCTCCGCCTCCTGGGTTCAAGTGATTCACCTGCCTCAACCTCCTGAGTAGCTGGGATTACAGACATGCACCACCATGCCCAGCTAATTTTTTGTATTTTCAGTAGAGACGGGGTTTCACCATGTTGGTCAGGCTAGACTCGAACTCCTGACCTCAAATGATCTGCGTGCCTCGGCCTCCCAAAGTGCTGGGATTACAGACGTGAACGACTGTGCCTGGCCAGTTGTGAAAATCTTAACACATTTACCTTAAAAATTTTCTTTTTTTCACTCTATATGTGTTTGAGTACATTATTTTTTGTGAAACATTTGAGAGTAAATTGCAAGCATGTTGTCCCTTTTCTCTTAAATACTTTATATTTCCTATGAATGAGGACATCTTCCTGCGTAACAACAGTACAATTATCAAAATCAAGAAATTAACATTGATACTATTGAATCAAAGAACCAATGTAACCAATGAACCAATATATGAATATTTGGGACTCTCTCTGCTTAGATAGAAACAGCTCTACAAATGCTTTCAGGTGATGCTGAAACCAGTTGCACTGGCAGCTGAGCTTAATTACAATTCATTGCCCGTAATAGCGTACCAACTGAAGGCAATGGTGACTCTTCTGTTTAAGGGTAAACGCTTTCCAATAGGGTTGCTTTTTCTACATTGTGGTAAATCTGCCCAATCAAAGTCTTTCTTTTTGGAGTATAAAATCTGGATAACAAGCCGGATCCTCACTGAAGCTTAGCACAAGGTCAAAATATATAGGAGACCTCGAGGCCGAAGAACTGCAAATGAAACCACATCTTCTACTATCCCATATCCTCTGTTTTCCTGCATCTTCCTGAGAGGAAAAAGGACTTTCCTCCCTGCAGTTCCAAGGAATTTGCCTCCTACAAAGCCGTAGAGTAAAAACTTATTTTTTGATAAATCCAATATCACTGACAAAAAACCTGCTTCTGGACTGAAGCTTGTTTCAAAAGCTGTTTACAAGAACAATAACCTTCTGTTCTGAATTAGTGGTAAGTAGCTTAATGAAAAGCTGTATTAAATGGGGTTTATTTTAGCCTTTTGCTATGAAAAGTGTGTTCTGTGGACTGGCAGCATCCTTATGGGTGAGAAATGAGAAACGTGGGGCCTTCCCTCATGTGAATCAGTATCTGCAGTTTATCAAGCTCCCGAGGGGTGAGTGCACGTGAAGGATTGAGGAGTATTGCTCCAAATAACCAGGCCAACATGGTAAGTGTGTGTGCTTTTTGGTTTTACCGCATTACAGGTATCTACTTAGTTGTGATACAGCAACAGACATATTCATTCCTTCTTGGCTAAATCTTATTGATTGGCAAGATATCTGTTTTTATACACATTACTGTGGTACAGCGGTTCTCAAAGTGTGGTCGACAGACTGGAAGTATCAGCCTCACTTGGGAATCTGTTAGAGATGCAAATTCTCTGGCCACACCCGAGACCTACTGAATCAGAAACTCTGGGAGTGGGGCTCAAAATCTGTGTTTTAACCAGCGTTCCAGGTAATTCTGATGGGCTATGGTAGCGAGACCCACTACTATAGTACCTCGCTGCTCCAATAAGCAGACAATCTTGTCATTATAAAGCAATCTACCAGAATTTGAAGCAGTAGAAAATCAATGACTAATGGAGAACAGGAATGATAATCCAGCTCAGTTTCATTTTTATCTTAGAATTAATTGGAAAATGTATAGGTTGAGTGTTTCTTTAAAATCTTTATTTAAATGCTTGGACCGTGCCTGGAATTTTGCCTTTAATTCTAATGTCCTCCTTGCTCAGGGAGGATGCCTTTGGTGGATGCCAAAGTTACTGCCTAACAGACCAGTTTACTACAAATAGGTAAAAAGAAACTTGCCTAAAATCAATCACCTACTTTAAGTTAATCAGATGTTCTAAGTGGATGATTTAAATGATTCACAAAGGGCATTTCAAAAAAGTTGCTGTGGACCCAGCTTCAGCAGTGAATTTTATGTTCTAGATAAATAAAAAGGAAAGTTTTGCAAACAAATGCTGATTTGCAGATGGGCAGGCACTGTAGAGTTCATGAACAGGAGGCACACCTGCTCTTAAGTTCTGCAGCCAACAAAGCTGTTTAAAGACAAAGGGAGAAGCCATCAGTATTACCCACTGGTGCCTCCAAGAAGTGCCAAAGGAGGTACTTCCCATTTCAAACAAGTCGAATAATAAGGTGCAGATTAGAATCAAATGTGTAGGCAGTCCTTTCTCCTGGGCAGCACTGCATCCACTCAGAGCCAGTCACAGATGTTCAAAATTGACTTCTTGGCTTATCTCATTTTCAGTTGAAAATATTGTTGATGCATTTGCTTCTGTGAAAGCCAGGAAAGTGAAATTATAGTAGATCCAATTTAGGTATAGATAAATGTTTAAACATAAAATAATGTGAGCTTTAATACACTGGTCTTTCAATTTTTCAGTAATTTCTCAACTTCTTTAATGGCCTGGAAAAAAAAAAGAACTACAAAAATATATATAAAGATATACGTATATCAGGTAGACATTTTTAGTTTTGCTTTAGGCTCCAATAAAGATTGACAAGGTTGGATTATGTCATTTATTTAAAAATCTTGATGATTTGTTCATCATGAATATTTTTCCCATTTTTAAAAAATTTATTAAAATATCATATATCGTCATTACTGATTTTTGGCACCCTCTTAAATTAGCCCAAGGCTAGTACCTCCCTTGTGTCACCCTCGTCCTGGATCTGCTGCAGAGAATTGAATACTACTTATTGGGATAAAAAAATTAGTTTTTCTTGTTAAACATCATAGTGCAATGAAAATATATTGGGCTTTTGAATAAAACGGGACATCTTTTGAATCCTTGCTGTCATTTACTAGTTTGTGATTTTGCCATTCTTGTGGATATAAAATACTGTTTGATGTTTTAACTTCCCTAAAAATCAGAGTTTCATAAGTTAACTTGTGTTTTTGTATTTGTTAGACATTTTTGTTCCATTATGTAAATTGCATGTCCTCTGAATAGATTTCTACTGGATTTCTTATATTTTTCTTGCTGAAGAAGTTTTTGTGTAAACTGTCTGTTAGTACCACATTAGTTTTGTATGTTACTAATTTTTCTCTTTTCTAATCTATTTACCTCGATTTCAGTGACTAAACAAATTTTTAAATATAGTTTGAGTGTTGCTACCAAAGCTCGTGTTGCAAACTTAATTCCCAGTGCAGCAGTGTTGGGAAGTGAGGTCTAGTGGGAAGTTTCTGAATAATGGGGGTACTGCCTTGATGAATAGATTAATTTTGTCTCTCTGGAATCAGTGAGTTCTTGCTCGTTGGGGAACAGATTAGTTCCCACCAAAGCAGGTTGTTGTAAGTGAGACTGCCTCTTGTGTTGGGTCTTTTTGCACATGCTCACGTGCTTTTATGCTTCTCTGCCATGTTGCGGGACAGTGTGAGTCCCTTACCAGAGCCTGAGCAGATGCTGTTGCCATTCTCTTGAACTTTCCAGCCACCAGAATCATAAGCCCAATAAACCTCTTTTTAAAATAAATTTTCTGGTGTCAGGTATTCTGTTACAGCAACACAAAATGGACTATGACACTTTGGTAGAATCAAACTCACCAATTTTTTCACACATAGTATGTGCTTTAAGAGGTTTCCCTTATGAAATCCTTTCCCTCTGAGATAAAAAATGTCATTTTTAATTACTTTTATAGTATATTTTTCATAATTAGGACTCTAATCCAAGTTGATTTTCTCTGTTGGATGATTTCCTTACAACTTCTTTTAAAAATATTCCTCCATATGGTGAGTCAAATATTCTAACACTTTGTTAAAATCAATTTTTTCTCTTTTTCTACTGATTTGTGATGCAAACCCTCTCATATATTATGTTCCCACATATACATGAGTGGCTAACCTCTCTATCATGTTCAGTTGCTTTCCTTCAGTGTTCCTATGCCACAACCATACCTTTTTAATTACTGTGGTTTTGTAAGGAATTTTACAGCTGAATTAATGTCCTTAGTTGACTTTGAGTCACTCAAAAGGGAGATGATCCTGGATGGGCCTGATCTATCAGATGAGCTTTTGCAAGGAGCATCTAGACATTAGACTCTTGTAGCAGCAGAGGTTCTCTTTATTGGTGGCTTTGAAGAGAGTTGCCACGAACATTACTGCTACAAAGCCATTAGTTCTGCCAACAACCAGAGATTGCTTAAAGACAGATACTTTCTGAGTCAAGCCTCCAGCTGAGAATGCAGCTTGGGTGACACTTTGACTTCAGCCTTGTGAAACCCTGAGGAGAGAACCTGACTGAGCTCTGCCTAGGCTCTGACGTTTAGAGGTCAGACTCACTTATTACTGCAAGTGATAAATTAATACTGTTTTAAGCCATGAAGTTTGTGACTATTTGTTATATAGAATAGAAAGCTAGTATGCTATCTAGAGCTAATCAGTATTTAAAACTTTCTACTAAGATGTGTGTATTATCATTTTATTTCTCTTCCTCATCTTCCTCATCTCCACTGTTGGTATATGTATTATGGTATATATTTCATGATGGCTGTGAAAATTTTTAAAAAACGGGCAATTCAGACACTTAAATTATTTTATTTTATTTTACAATTAATACCTGTAGCTGACATTATTTATTGCTCAATAGCCAAATATCACTTTCATCTTATTTTGAGGTCCTGGCTTGCTAACAGAAACCTAATTTTGTTCAGTTGGCAGGTACAGAGCCCTTGGAAAGCAGGTTCTTCTACCAGCTTCACAGGTAAAATACGATTGATGTAAGTTAATAAAGACTCATTCCTATATTACACGTGGCAGTTCTGGCCAATGAGATATAAAGTAGCACTGGGAAGATATGTTTTCTTATTGATATTGTTTGGCTCCCTTTGTGCCCTTTCAATCTGAGATCTTGAATCTTTTTAAGTTCTGGGACGTAATTAAATATAATTTCTTCAAGTATAAC